GGGGACAGGGGACAGGGGAGGCGGGGTGGGAGGCAGAAGGACCAGAGGGCAGAGAGGAAGGAAGGGGGCAGAGGTGGGAGAATCCAAGGCCTGAGGCTGTTTGAAACTGATGGGGGGCGGTTTACAGAAAAGCAGTGTCAACGCCCCCAAGGTCGAAGTCCCCTGTGACTCGATTTAAATCTCCTCTCCAGGGAAGGGCCTTCTGTGCTCAGGCTTCCTCCCGCCCTCCTCCGAGCAGCAGAGCTGGACACAGCACACGGGGTATTTCTCAGGTCTGTGCGACGCTTCTTCTCCCTCCAGGGTGCCCACGGGGGGCGCCCACCCCCACCCCCACCCCTGGCGCTGTCCTTGGGGGGAGGGGGTGAGTCATGTTCCAGGAGTCCAGGAACCTGGAGGATGGGCATTTGAGAAGCGGAAACTCAGACAGAATCTTTAAGTGTCCCTTGCCCTGCGATGACCTGCTCCGGGAGGCGTCAGAACGGTTAGCTCTTTGCCCTTTCTCTAGCCTGTACTCGATATAAAGCCACCACCAACAGAATAAAAAGTCTCATTTCCTGTCAGTAGAGTCAGAGAGACGCAGAAAACGGGGCAGGTGAAACATGTGAAGGGACCATGACGCGTTTTGTGGCTTTCTCCATTGCTAATCACGAGTTCTTTGCTATATTTAGAAAATGAATATTGAGAAATAAAAAAGTACGCCGGAGCTTGCCTGGTGGATTTCATATTCCGGGTCGGATCTATTCATCTTGCCCCTGACAAACACACAGAAAATTTCACCGCAAATACCTTGCAAAACGCACTCATGTTTACCACGGGACGCACGCTCACCGCAGACGGCCGCGACAGAACCACACGCGTCAGTCCCCGCTGTGCACCCCAGCAGTCGCTCCCGCCTGGCTACAGGCTCCTGTCTGGACAGCAGGTTCGGGCATTTTATTATTTTACTGCGATTATCTTAATCTAGAGCAGCGCTATCTAATATGGTGACCATGTGGCCATTTAAATTAAAATTAATTAAAATTAAAATTTCAGCCCTCGGTCTCGCTGGGCACATTGCAAGGGCTTAATGGCCACATATGGCCGGTCATGATGCATCAGCACAGATGTGGATGGAGCACTTCCACCAGGGTGGAGAGTGGATCCGCCGCCGCTCTGATCCTCAGAGATGCCACGAGAAACGAACAAAACCACACAGTCTGTGGCCTTGGGTCTGCCCTGCCGTGGGCATACGGAACAAATGGCCATTTCTGTGGGCACCAAACTGTGATGTCAGCTCGGGACTTGGGCTGAGACACCTAAAGGTGCATAGACACTTACCCATCTCTACGTCTCACCTCTATCTCCGACCTCATTAGGTTGTTTATAAGACACAACCATAGAGCCTTGTTATTTCAAGACTATATGGTGATTTCTAATACGATGGTGATCGGCCAGCTAATCCTGAGCAAGAAGGGGGATCTGACGCCCTGGGCAGGGAGCCTCTGCCAGCTCCGCAGAGGGGAGGAGCCTGGCAGGCTGGCAGCCTTCGCCAGGGTTCAGAGCAGTGACCCCTGAGTACCTCAGGCTCACAGGCCGCCTGCGGTCCTGGTAAAGGAAATGGGCCTCCTCACCCCTTAGTCGAGCCCACCATGGCAGGCACTCGCAAGCTCCCTGGTGTCCTGGGGTGGCACACGAGTGTGGAGAGGGGACCCGTGTTTTCTTGGGGCAGCACAGCTACTCAGGAGCCTTCAGTGGCACGAAGGTGAGACGTTTGCCTGACCAGGTGGCCCACTGTCCACACACGGGGGAGGACAGTGCAGGGCCTGGGTTTGTTTGCTTTTGTGCCAGTGGTGGGGGACCCCCGCTTCCATCAATATCCATGGCCCCCTCCTTAGGAACGCTGCACCTCAAGGAAGAGTCCCAGGCGCCTGCCTACCAAGTGCCAGATGGTGCCCACAGTGCCCGAGCCAAGGAATAGGTATGGATATTAAGCCTACGCTTAATCATTTTAATGTTTTATTTTCAGTATTAAAATAGTGCACTTGAACTGTGCTTAGCAGAGCTGGAAAAGAGCGGAAGTCTGCGGGTCCCGGGGTAAGATGTCCCTTCAAATCCCCGCGATTATTCCACTGGAGGCGGCAGGTGAATCGCCTCCCTGCCCTGGCGCTCAGGTTGCTGAGTCGGTGCCACGGGCAGTGGTGGCTTAAAGGAATTAACGTGACTGCAAAAGAAAAGTAGTTTATATCCCTCCTGACAGCAGGATTAGCAGAGATGGAGAGAAATGATTCACCATGTGCTATTTTCAAGATGAATTTTTTCTAGTCTCTTGACATTTCTAAAAGTTACTCATAAGATTATTTGAAGGGGTCAAAGAATCCATAAATTATTTTTATTGATATGATTTTTAGGTGCTATAATTACTTAAAAGACCAAAGCCGCTCACTTTTTATAAGGAAATATGGCATATTCTGTTACTAGAAAGGGAACAGGCTTTTAAAAACTCCTCTGTGTTATCTTGTGTGAACCGGTAAATAGACAAACAAGCATAAAATCCACAAGACAAATCAAATGTGAACAAACCCCCGAAGTCACAGTGAAGTGCTGGGACACGTACTTCTGCTAAGACTAAAATGGGCACATCCTCACATAACGTATTTCACATCTGAATAGAGATGATTACAAGCATGATAGTAACGCCCTTCATCTTCCTAAAGAAATTACGACAAAATTCAGTAACAAGGACCCTTCAGATTTCTCCTGCCAAATAATTTCTAATAATTCTAAGTTCGATGACTGAATGCCAGACGTCCGCTCAAGGCTTAGAAATATTTGATAATTACATGAAAACATTTACAGACGCGCTAGAAATGATGGAAACAATTCTTTTAGTTTTCCCATGAAACAGGGTAGAGGTTCATTTCAATGACTCTTTCCAAGACACTTTGATGAATTCAACTTGATAATTTTATATTTTTAAAAACATATGTTTTTACTGATTTCAGAGAGCGGAAGAGAGAGAGGGAGAGAGATCTAGAAACATCAGTGATGAGAGACGGTCATCTATCGGCTGCCTCCCACATGTCCCCCAAGGGGGCTGGGCTGAAACCCGGGCACGTGCCCCGACCAGGACTCAAACCCACAGCCCCTGGTTCACGGCCGATGCTCAACCGCTGCGCCGCACTGGCCGGGCGATTATTTTATCTTTTAACACCAAGCTGTTGGTTACTAACTACAAACGATTGCTACGTTCACATCCAGACACCGCCGCGGCACTTTTTAGCGAGACGGTCAGTCACTTAATTCAAACGACACTTGGTAAACGCCCTCTCACGCTCGGGCCCCGACCCGGTTACACAGGCGCCCCTTCTCCGTCCCCAGCCTCCGGGCCCTTTTGGCTGATCAGCGTCGCCCGCAGCCAAGCGGCTGATAACGAAAATAATTAAATGGCAGAAGCTGGTGAGAGGTCCGCATTCCTTTTTCAAATTAAATGTAACAGCCTTTCTCTGGGGAAGAGACTGACACGTTTTTACAAATAACATCCTTTGAGAAATAACAGCCTTCGAGAGAGAAACGGCCGCTAGAATGGAGTCATTAGGCGATACATTTATCTTGAAGCCAATTAACCTTTTGTCAAAAAAGTGTCGGTGCTATAACGGTTCCGGGGGCGGGGGTCACCCTCTAACAGGGCACGCGTGTCCGCCCCTGCGCGGGTGACACGCGCTGCGGACGGCGAGAGGGCAGCACCGAGGGCCGGTGTCCTCCGCATTCCGCCCGCATTTCCAGGGCCCTGACCTATCCACTCAGGTAGTTAAAGCGTCCGTTTGGAGGCGTCCCGCCGGAAGGTGAACTCTGGGGGAGATAAATGGCTGTGGCTCCCCCGTCCCACCACCAGCTCCATCATTTGATGGACTGCTGGGGACAGGCCGGGCTGCCAGGTTCTCATAAAAATAGAGATGAATGGGGCACCGGGCAATTCTCTAAGGCACAGCAGCTCTGTCATCCTCTTGGTCGCAGGCTATCGTNCGGCTCTCCCGGCTCGGCCCTGACTTACCTTCCAGGCTATTTTGTTTCCTCTCGAGTCGTGCTCCAGGGCAATGGGGAAGTCTCCTCGCTCATAAAATTTCCGGAACGCTGTGGGCTTGGTTGGTCTCTCTTTAAATGCTCCTGCGGCAGGAGGGCCTCTCACCTGCAAAGAAAACAGAGCAGGGATCAGAGTTTTAAAAGGCTAAAAACTAAGACAGGCACAGTAGACGGACTGATTTTGCATGAAATATTCTGGACAAGAGAGACCAAATCACTAATAATGGACAAGCATCTCACTAATACAGACACTTGGAGAAGAAAATTATTTTATAATCACGGTGAAGTGTTACTTTATTTCAAACTACTTTAGAAAGTATTCCTAGAAAATGTCGCTTCAAAATATCGCTTTTTAAGGTAGAAAAGCCTGAACGTTCGTTTAAAAATTTTTAAATGAAGGCATCTAAGTTCAGAGTGTCTAAACTTCAAGTTTCCTAATTGCAAATTCTAATCTTGGTCTGATTTACTCGGTGGAATACTTAAGTAATGCATTTAAAATATCTCCTTTAAATCTTTCTATATGCTTAACACGGTAGGATAAATGGGGGGGGGGGTAGGGCTGAAAGG